CTTCCAAGTCTCTGTTTGATTTCTCATGGTTATTATTCATCTACATAAAGGCGTTACCCCTTATGGTATGAAGTGGTTTCACATGGAATCTTTGTAATGCAGCAACTCATAACCATAATCTAGGCTAAAATGTGTTACCTAAATTGCTGTGGTTTCAAAATTTACAAAAAAAATGTATTTCCCTGAGCAATCTAACTTCTCCTTTTACTAAAACAACAAAGCAAACCCATTAGGAAGACTATGAGTTTGAGCAATTAATTACACACTTAATAATATTTTATGGTTTTCTAAATACTTTAAAGTCCTTTCCAAACATTATGATTTAAATCCTGCCACCGCCCCTCATATAGACTAGGAAAATTAATGGAACAACTCCAAAAGCAAATTACACTTAGGTTCTGGGAAAATTTGGGTTCTGATTCAATTTTTTTTTCTAAGAATTCAGTGACATCATTTTGACCATATGCATTTTGAAAAATGGGAAATGGAAATACCACATTTGTTACAACTTCATGTAACAAAATGGTGGAAAAATAAGATTTCTCTCTAAAAAAAAACTCTGACTCTTAAGTATCTCACGGAGCTAAGTGTTCCAAAGGCACAGAAGGTGGTCAGCCACAAAATCATTATGGAAAGCCTCAGAACTGGATCCTACCTCACATTTACTTCTGTAAATCCTCCCCTTGTTATGTTACTGCACCTTAAGAACATAAAGAATGAATAACTAACTATTGCTTGGAGTTTCATGTTTATTACACAACTAATGCCATATTCACATTGAGAAGTTACAGAAATTAAAAGAGCATAATCATAATATCCAAAAATCTTAAACATTTCAAGTGTACCATTGACATGACAAAGAATTCAGTAACTACTCAAGTCACATGGTTTGCAGAGGCATTCTTTGTCAAACAAAATAACTAAAATTTAGGGTTAAAGCTAGGAAAAAAAAGACAATTATAAATAGTGGTTCTGTTATACCTATTCTGTTAGAATTTTTAAAACATTAGGTAAACCTTCGTGATTTAAAGATGTTGATTCAGAGAGTATTAGCTATTTACCAGATGCTTAATAAAGTCAGGTACAAATTAAAAAGCTCAATATGTAATTCTCAGTTCTGCATAGAAATCCTCTGTTTGGTGGTTGGAACCACATCAAATCAAATTTTTACTAGGTTTGAAAAAAACTGCATATATTCATGGTTTCCACCGGCTAGTCAAGAGCTTGAAATATTGGTCTTGACTATCCAGTCAAGACCAATTCTTTCCACAGGAAAGTAATTCTCAGAGGAAATTATTTGTCACGCTACTTCCAATCTAAAGATCTAAACACAGTCTTTCCTCTAGCCTTTGGCACAGCCCATAATAATTGGACCATAGGAGAGAGCAACAAAAAAGTGGATCCACAAGATGCATGCCAAATATCACTACCAGCTCAATCATTTGCTTTCTCACCTTTCCTCCCCATCAGGAATAATCAGTAGCTGAAGTATTAAATGACATGTCACAGTCATTCACTGATGGAGCAGCAAGACAGAATGACATATTCTGCTGATCATTTATAGCTATTGGTTGTTATAGGGTATTAGCTTGCAATACACAGTCTCGTTTGAATTTCAGATGAGCAGATGGCCAGATGAATTAGCCTGTAAAATTAATATTCCAAACCCACATACAGCAGGACTTTGTAAGGGTACTGACTGCTTCAAAATCCATGTAGTCGGTTTAGTGGAGTTTATTTTTCAGGCCTTGCTTATTATTTGCTCCATAAATACTGAAACCTACCACAGAAAAAGGCAATTCTGGAATGCTTCGGTAATTTGGTGCCATGGTTTCCTTGAATATTTCTTTCACAATGCCAGGACCATTCATTTCCAGTGCCCATCTGGTGAAAAGACCAAAATTTGTTTACCTAGCCTACATGAAAATATTTGCACACGCCTACAAGGAGGTGTACGGTACATGGGAGCTGGAGATACTAGGTGCCTCATTATGGCAACAACCAACACTGAAATTATTGCCAAAAAAACTTCTCTGTGCTTCTCAGGCCTCACCTGGAGGACTGTATGTGTACAGATACCTGGCAGATGTCGCTCCCAGTTCCTGAATTGACCAGAACACTAACACAGACCTGCCGAAACAGGACGGAGCAACTCACTTGCTGGTACAGAGGGTACAGTTAGTGACTGCAGCCTGGGAGAAGGTGGTAAGTTCCAGCTATTAAAATCTGTGAATTTTTCAAGTCCCCTAGATCTTTCTGAAAAGCTTACCTCAATTGCAATTAGTCTGCCTTGGCCTCTGACCCACTGCAGATGAACATAATACAAGTCTTGAGGGAAACTGATGTATTTGAGAGCCACCAACTTGATTACTATTGATTATCTACTTGCCTCAATGGTAATTTCCCTTTGTCAGTAGCATTTCTGCCTGACTGCTCCTTCTGGGACCTGGCTTTTCTGTTATTTTTCTCTTTTTTTTTTCCCCAGATCGGCTCCAAGAAATATATTTTGATTATTGTTTTGGGTTAAGCAAGGGAGGTAATAGAAGGGAAGCTCTAATCACGACAGGAACTTATTAAAGAAATCCTTCATTGTTCCAGGGGAACAAAGAAGGTAACTTTCGAAAATTCGATCGTCCACGAGGTAAGTTTTCCTTTTATGCTTTGATGAGGAAAAACAAAATAATTTAAAATAAATAATGTATGAGGCACTAGAATACTCCCATGTAGTTATAATCTTGCCAGTTAATGTGAGGACTGAAAGGATTCCTACAGTTAAATTACTGGGTGGTTGAAAACTCAAAGACTAAGTTTAGAGCTGACTCTCCAATATGATGACCCAGCTGAGGGGTTCAGTAACAATGATGTCGGGCCTCCAAGTGGCAGATGAGGCTTTTGTTTTATTTGTTTGACAGTAAATATCTGGGCTGTTGCTTAGCAGCCATGCACAGAGACAGAGGCGTTTCCAGACAAAATAAACTACACTACAGCAGGTAAACCTTTCACAGCAATTACCAAATGGAAATGAGATCTGAACTGATCACTGCAAAGCAACCCAACACCTTTGTTTCCTGCAGATGTTTTAAGCACAAAAATAGCAATTTGGGATTTCTTTATGCCAGTGTGATAAGGTATCATACATTTAAAAAAAAAAGAGTATACTGATTTTGAAAAATGATATGCTGAAAATACTAGAAACAGAGACCAAAGTTTTCAAACTTCTGTCAGCTGTTAAATCCATATTTAAATAACACATTAAACAACTAGATTTTCTCTCAGGGACAAGGAGCATTTGCAACTGTTGCTGAATTCCAGGGAATTTTCATATATCCTAGGAGCATTGCACTCATCCAGAACTGAAATACAAATAACAGAGCACCAGACTGAAAAGCTTTTTTGGATGTTCTAACAACTTGGTATTAATTCTGATAAGTCTTATTTCTACCTCTGCTGTCACAAAAGCCCCGACACCCTGAGTTCTCAGGCCAAAACTCGTGCATGTCACCTACTCCTGAGTGTTTCATTTCCACACAAAGTCTTCAGCTTTCATAGGACTTACCTCCTATACCAGGAAAAAAAAAAAAAAAAGGAAATGCCAAAGCTGCTCTTGCATATCGCAGCTGTACAGCTCTAAGGCAGGTATTTCACTGAGAAAGCAGCACTTGGCCTCAGTGAGCAAACAGAAAGGGCCAAATTCTGCTCTCTCTCCTTACCCTGGGGCATTCCACCACAAGGAGGAATCTGCATGTGAATAACCTAGAGAAGAAATGTGTTTCCAGACACTTGAGCTTAAAGACTGAAAAAAAATGCTGTTGTGAATTCTGTAATCTTATATTTTCATTGACGGTTTTTTTGGGGGTGAGTTGAGTTGTGAGATGTTTTTTTTTACTCTCAGAGTTGATCCACAGGGCATTGTCATTATGTTGCTGTCTCACCTTTCAGTTGATAGACAGACTTCCTGCTGGAGAAACATTATTATTTAACCGGATCCACTCATCCTGCCACTGATTTGTTTTACTTTTGTTCCTGGCAAAGAACAGCAACTCTAGGTAATGTTTCTTCTCATTTGGGCAAGTCCTTCAGAACACTTTAGTAAATTAACCCTATGTAGTTCACTTAGTAAACACAGGATCTCCTGAAAGGATTTAAAAAACTAAATTACTTTAGAATTTCCAAACAATCTTTGTTTTTCTTTCGTTTTGTCTGACACAAGCTTAAGAAACTACTCAGGAAGCAAACGTGAATATTTAATTCCTCAGCAAACAGAGGTTGCTAGCTCAGCACGAGAGAATTAAAGTAAAAAGGAGGGGTTTTAAAATAAAGATGAAGACATGCCAACTCTGTTTCTGGAGTAGAAGTATTATCAATGAATCTGCAGTAGTCTGTTTTTAATTACATTAATCTTTCTAGTTTGGGTTACCCTTTAGCAATTGCAACCCCTCTGGAAATCCATGCCTTCAATTTGACCACAATCAAATTCTCATTCATTAAGTTTAGGCTGCATGTACACATATTTCTGTACAAATATTTATGATATATCCTGTACTATATACCACTGCTCAAAGAGAAGTTATAGACTTCCTAAAAACATTACTGAATAAGATTTTTTCATCTCAGTAACATCAGACCAGACAATTACAATTGCATCTTACATTCATCTACAAGTCTATTAAGAAAACATATTCAGCATAGTTGTGTTCAATGGAATATTCTCCCTCCCGTATTATTAGAGTTTAGAAACTTCTATCAAATGGTAAAAAGGCTTTAAAATATTACATTGTAGATGCCATTCATAAAACTTTCCTTGAGGATGCAATACTAATTTATGCAGTAAACAAGGAAAATATTCCAGTTAACCTAAACAAGACTTGGTCTCAACTGTAGACTGACAGATACTCACCACTAACTTCACACATATTTTCTTCTTTCTAAATAGAAAATTAGGATCATAGTTTGCTCAATGGTCCCTACAGATTAAACAAAGGATTTCTCTTACTACTCACCTTCTTCTTGTTTTCCCACTCTCCAAATGGTCCAAGAATCACCAAGACAACAGGACACCTTCCAAAGTCTTCAGTAATGCAGACAGAAAAGAAAAAAGATTTAAAAAAAAATAATAAGTAACTATTAGATGCGTGCCACAAAGAAAGAATCCATAGATTCACAGGTTCAGGGACTTCCTTTATATGGGAAAAATGAGAGACCTCTGATCCTTAGAAGTTAGGCAGGAATATTTTCAGGCTCCACAGTTAGGATTTAAACACATTAAGGGGGCAAGGGAGGATCGCAAAGGTACGTCTAACCTACTTGCAGTCTGAAAATATACAAAGCAGCTTTAAACACCCCGTGCAATTGACAAGAACAGTTTTGCTCCAGAGCACAGAACTCTGGAAGCTAATTTGGGAGAGGACAACATTAACCTGCGCAGAACTCTAAACTGGATTAACCCTTGCACAGAAATTAGCTCACTTAAAGCCAGTTAAGATACCTCAACACTCACTCTCCTGTAGTCCACCCACCCCTGAGAATACCCTAGAAGCAGAGGCAGCAGCAGAATACCCAGCAGAGGTAGCAGCAGAATACCCAGCAGAGGTAGCATCAAGCACTCTGTACAGTTGCAAAATGGAGAGAGGATTTCTCAAGCAAGGTTAATATGTAAATGTGCAGCAGCATTAACAGCAAACATCAACTGCACAGAAAGCAAAGTGAAATGCAAGCAGATGGGAGCAAATACTGCAGAGGGCCTGCCTGTAAGACCATCCTGCTCTGGAGGAGCCACACAGTGTGGGGCAGACAGCTAGGTATGACCAGGAAAAAAGGCATTTCGTAGGAATCTTTGAGACCAATTAGGCAGTGTTGCTGCTGCATCAGCTTCTTCACAGTGAAGATTCTCAATATATTGACCAAAGGTGCAAACAAAAACATTAAAAAATAATCCCTCTGAAGTTCCTTGCCATGTTAGCTGCCTGGGCTCCTCTTCTGCCCTGTATATACTGTCACAGATCTCAGGGGTTTAGCAAACTCCTTCCCCTTCCATACTACTGCAAACAGCTGAGCTGAGCTTATTTGCAGTGACCAATCCAGAACTAAACATCAGCACTTCGGCAAGCCCGGGATGTGGCAAATCCGAGCCAACAATGCAAAGTACTGAAACCAGTACGAGCTCCCAGCCAAAACTGGTGTATGGATAAAACTGCTTAGGAACTTAAGCTTCACCATTTAATGTTATGTATATCCAAAGAAATTCCAATAGTGTGACCTAGCACCCGTAGGTTCTCCCTGCACACAGCAGTGCATTCATATAGATGTTTTTTTCCCTCATAAATACTCTGCCTTGGTGGATTTAAAGCTGTGAATACTTGAAGTTAACAGCTTTTGACTTCAATCCATAGGCAGTACAGAATCAATTTCCTAATTACATATATAAACATCTGTTTCCTCATGCCAGAAAAAAAAAATTTTAAAAAAAAAGGAATACAATCATAATAATGTACCATCATTTCTAACAAAGTCAGGACATCCTAACAAGAGAGGTTTGCAGCAAGATTTTTTTTAAGTATAAACCTCCATTCCCTTCACTTTCAGTCTTCCTGCTGTAGTTACCAATTACTACACTTAAAGACAAAGCTGCTCTGAAGGAGAACAAGAACTGGAACTGCCAGAACTGAGGCTGAGATATTCAGTTAATAATTTAGCAGCAGCTACTTATCAGGATGTACAAGTTCACATTCCTCCTTTTCCCCACAGAAACATCTTCTTCGTGAAGGAATTTCTCTGGGAGGTCACTGTTAGAGAAGAGAGTGAATAGCACTATCTGCAAGAAAATTACTATTTCAGGTTCCAAGAATTATTCTGGATAACTTGCACAGACTTCTTTAAATGAATGGTAATAACATTCTTTTAAGGATATTAAATCCTCTATGCAGAGCTCTTCTACCATGTTGCAGCATTTAATCTGATTTGAAAACTACATTTTGCCCTTGTGCAGGTCTAGTAAGAGATCTATATAACACATGCAAATTAAAAGAAAAAAGTATAATTATGCTCTTTGGTATCTAGATTTTAAGTTTAGATAGAAGAAGAATGAGAGTGAATGAAGTATATCCAAAACGTAATGTCAAATTTTGGGCTGCTGAAAACAGTCCATTCGTATATTGTTATAAAAAATGCAATATTATTGTCTCTTAAATATTACTCTTTTTTTTTTTTCCAGACTTCACAACTGCCTTTGCAGGTAAATGGTATCATTACTTCTATTTCTCCATAAGAGAGTCACCCAAATCAAACAGTATTTCTGCAGAGCATCATCAAATATGATATACTCATCAACTATGATATATAAATGGAAATTTTTAACTTCAGACTGTAAAAGTATGCTCAAAAGTATTAAAGGTGTACAAATTAAAATCATCTGGAAAAAAAAAATTCTGTGCTTTGACTCATCTCCTTAGCCAAGCAGGGCAAGGCGTTTATCAAAGTAAGTTTTAGTGATCAACTCTCCAGATTAAAAATACACCTTTCTGTTAAATTTCAATGCTCATATGTTCTTCTGTATAATTTTTTGCTATGTACAGGAGATAAATTTGAGGAAGTTTTATTTCACTGAGATCCAAATTCATCTCACTAACTGCAGGAATTTCTCTGGGGTGCCTAATTAGGAGGCACATCAACAAAGGTTGCCTATATAAGTCAATGCTGAGAGACAGCTTTAAAGGATAATTCAGTGTTGCTACTCTAAAATTGCCTCTTCTCATGCACTATAGAACAGGGCTCCTAATCTCAGCTGGGTATTACAATTAGTTGAAATTAATTCTGGCCCCATCCCTAGGGTTCCTTCAGTAAAAAAGTTTTCCTTTTTTCTTTCATTCTGAAAGAAAAAAAAATTATTCACAAACCTAAGAAACACATAGGACAGATGCTCCTGTCTTTCACTTGGCCCTGCAGGCTTCTGAAAACCTATGGAAAATCCCATTCTCACTGGTGTTATGGCTTCACAAAGCCATAACCACTGCCACTGCCTTAGACTGCATTCAGTGCTCCCAGTAGACATTTCTAGCTAGCTTGAACTTCAAATTCACCCCATTTCTAAGCCATTCCAGTCCCCAGAAAGGATCTTCAGCAGTCTAAGGCAGAATAAAATGAACAATGACATGGCTCCCTACTGCAAACCTGCACTATGTTTTTGAACACAGATGGAAAAAGTAAAACAGAGCCCAGAGTAACTCTCTGGATGCATGAGCCAGAAACTGGTGCACCCTGGAGTCCTGAGGATACACAGCTCTCACAAATGTATTATGCTCTGTAAGTAACCTGCTTGTGAATTTGATATGGGAAAAACAGACAGTCATGAGACAAAAACAAAACAAAACAAAACAATCAAATCCATGTATTGGTATAACTTCACAGGATAGACTTTACCACAATCAAAGAACACAAGCTCCATTCACTCAGCCAAGTTCAGCATTCTTTCAATAAACCAGGTCAGAAAAAATCCTGGCTAGTGGCATGCCAACAGAGTAAGGGTCATTTAGGAATGCTAACTGAGAATATTCAGCTGTCTAGCATTTGGATGGGGGCAGGGGAGAGACAAATTATATTTCTCCACATTTATTTCCTTTAGAGATTATTATTTTTTTAAAAAAGATGCCTTGCTAAGGAAAAAACAATTATTTTTCATCCTTTCATACTGCTCTATATGATATATGAAAAACTAAAGGGAAGACTTAAGGACATGGTTTAGTTTGGGTTTACAGTCAAAATTCTGTGTACTCCAGAAAAGCGGCATGACTGAAGAATTTATGAAATTGTGATGTGAGAGAAAAAAAAAAAAACAGGAAAGAGTAAACCCTACAGAAGTAGAGATTCCATTGTCTACTGTCCTTCAGCCAAGATTTTCAAGAATGACTAATGATTCTGGCTCTTACAATGCCTGAATTGCCTATGTGGATACTCATTTCCAGAAAGTGCTGAGTATCTTTCCTCTGCAAATCAAGCCTCTTGAAACTCTGTGTAGCTGGGAAACCAAGAAGGAGGCATGGAAAACTTTCTTTAAATTTAGAATATTTTTTTAAACACCCATTTAACTACAATGCTCGAAAGGACACTTGGAAAAAATGTCATTGTGAAGTGATTGGATTATCTGCTATATAATTACAGTGTTGCAACACATACCCCTGAGATATTCAAGAAGCTTGTGAGGAAAACGAGGGATGATAATGTATTTTCTGAGATATGAAGAGTTTAAAAATCAGCAGAAATAATGGCTCCAGCCATTTTTTATTTGCTATACCAAGATGATACTTTTAAAGTACTTTGTACATTTACTAGAGATTGTGTTTACCACCTTGGTGATTGGCCATAATCTAAACTATTTCAAAGAAGTGTTTTTTGTGGAGACTTTTGGCCTTTTTGGCAAGTGCAAGCACTCTCCTGTAGTTATAGATACAATCATATGTGAAGCCTGTGGAAACTGATAGATTTGATTTGCATTCAAGAGTTCATGGAACTATCAGGCCAAATGGGACTACACAGATGACTTCAATGAAACGTGTGCTTGGCTGTCTGTAGGGTTAGAACCTTACCCATGACGTTCACTTAAATATTCAGCTATCCTAACACCTTAACATTTAGTACAATCCACTTGAAAATACACCACAGCACACAGAATTCTTATAGGCTGCAAAATACCATTATTTCATCTCCAAGTTCATTGAGAATTTACAAATTTCCAGCAAAATACAAGATGCAAGCAGCTGCACATAAGATTAAATCCCCTTCCTCCAGCAGTTTTACAAAACTTTTGCATGATACATGTTCATTACACAAAGCTAAGTGCCCACCAATCAAACTGCTATGAATGCCCCCAAAGTGGTTATCACTTTAAGAAGATAAAGTGTGCTGTTTATATAACTTATTAAAAATTGCACCCTTGCATTCCTTTTTCAGATAAAAAGTGTGAGGGCACTGCTTTATCACTTTAACTATGTGTTTCTTTGAACATATTTGTGCTTTAAAGTAAACACCAATGCTAGTTTTTTACGACTACTAAAATCAAAACACATCTTTTCAAAC